TTTGCACTTCTAAATGGCAAATAGATATTTACACCGATGTTTATCACAGGTATCTCCAACACGTTCAAAGTAGAATACATCTTCCTACAGAAACCTGTTTCCTATTTTCCCCTCCTGAGCTAGTGGAATTACTATCTACCTATCCTAACCTTAGAATTGCGTTCCTCTACTCCTAGCCCTTCTCCCTCTCCCAGTCAGTTAGCAAAATTTCATGGCATTCGCATATAATGTTTGCCTCCTTTCCTTCCTTACTAAAACTAAACCTGCCTTATTCTTTGCCAAGTACCCACTACATCTTCTTCAACCTCAGTTAGTTCCTTAAACAATGTAAGGTTCCTCAGGGTTCCAGCCTCAGTAATTTGCTTACAAGAGTGTGGCTGATTCCAGCTGTTTCTGTGTTGACAATCCCAAACTGTAAGCCTTTAGGCTAGAACTTCCTTCTGAACCTAGGCCCATGTAGCTGTACTCTTTGTCTCCTAGGTTCCTCAGCCTTAATATGCCCAAAGCTGAACACCTGCTTAACCCTCCACCCTATTTTGCTATCTCTGTTCCTCATCTTTAGCGAATTATACTATCCTCTAACTAATTAATCAGGTCAAGAGAAGGAGGATTAACCATCATATTTTCTCTGCACTAAGCTCTTTGCATTTGCGCCAGCAATTAAACTATTGCCTCTGCACCAAATCAATCCTTCTATACTCTCCTTTGTGATGCTGGGACTAGGACTCCACAAACCACACTTAGACTTTACCAGCTAGCTCCCAGCAAGGCTTTGCAAATCAGCAATAGGGGGAGACAGGAAGATAGGAAGAAGGGATTTGTTTCCTCCTGTTTGCTTCCTGTTCCTGTGAGCATCACCTCAGTCTGGCTTCTTTATCTTGGCAGTGGCAGTTGATTCCAAGAGCAGTATTTGAATTCAGGCTGCTGTTCTTCCAACAGTTGTGCTTCCTCCCTCTTTGAGGAGACCAGCCACAGCCCAGCAGTATTCCTCACCTCAGATCTGGCTGCTGCTGCTCTGTGGAGCCCCTTCTCCACACTTCTAAATGTTTATAATTGCAACTCCTGTTCATTTCCCATGGTAGCTCCTTCCTGCAACTGCTGTGCGTTAGGCCTGTGTGTTCTCTTTGCCACTTTGCAGTTAACAACTCTCTGATCAAATGATTGGTGTGTTTTCTGTCTCCTGACTGGATTTCAATTGGTACAATTAGATATTATTTCATATAATCCTGGCATAATTTGCTAAGGTGGAAGGAGAACTGAGACCAAATGAGGTTAAATAATTAGCCCATATTACACAGCTTCAAGGTGGCAGAGTTGGGATTTGAACCTAGTTTTGTTTTGCCGGAAGCCTGTGCTCTAATCACTAGTCTTTTTCTACATCTAAACATGGGCACAATTTTAAAATTCTTTCATTAGTTTGGTTGCTTTTCTCTTACCTTTCCCCAGACCTAGCCCAAAATATATCCCAGGCAATACTAGTACTATATGAAGACCTGTGAAATTATAAGTTCTGGGCTAAGCAAGTTTAGGAACCGACATATACAGTTATCTTTGGAAGAACCACAGTGAACATTAGCATAATAAAAGCTCTGATAATTCTTGCAAAAATTTATATATATATCACCATGCAGGGTCTCATAAATTTTCTGACCTGGAACATCCCAAGGATGTGGGAAATGTGGGGTTCATCAATATCTAATCTAATGTATCCTGTGCAACAGTAGTGGCTGTTAGATTGCTGCTAAAAAAATACTGAGAAAGGGGATTCCAACCTTTGTTTAGATTATAAATATATATACATTTATACATTTTTACATTTCAATTAATTAAATCTATGGATAGATTTATTTTTTCTTTAAAAAGAAAAGATTATTTATTTCTTTATTTCTTCCATGATCAAGAGAGACAGAAAAACACCCCTACCAGGGTCTTGATGCTGTGATCCACCCCCAATCTCAGCCAGCCCTGGATCATGGGCATATGTGAATCTGGCTTACTCAGGGAGGTCTCCAGGCATGAACCCAGAACCTCTCCATGTGCGTCAGCCTCACAGAGCATTGTGTTTTACTACTGTGCCACTTTCTAGCTTCTGTGGGTATATTCAATTGTACTTTCAGTTGAAAAAGATACAGGCAATTGTTTCATTGACAGTTAACCAAGACCTGAAGTAGAATTTAATTACTCCCAGTATAAATATTTTTTGCTTCTTTCTTGCATGCCAATCGGGGGCAAGTTATCTCCCCACAAGATCCAAAGTCTCACTTTTATAATTCTGACCTGTATACATCCCGTAATAGAGTGGTTTTGCAGTGCTTACATTTAACCTATTTATTTGAAAGTTTATCTATGACACCTTATGAGTTGTTCTACTGTAAAAAAAAAAAACAAAAAACCAACACTATAATTAATGCTTTACACATGTATTTTTAAGAAGCGTAAACCTATCTGCATTTGTTTGAAACTGTGGTTCCTTTGCTTATATTTATATTTTATTTGAATAACTGAGTCAGTTAATTGGATTGAACTATATTGTTTAGAAATCAGTAAGAAAGTGTACCTGATTACATGTTCAAAAATTTAGAGTTAGCCTTTCGTATCTAACTCCGGTCCAGAGAAGATAGCCTCAAAATTTTTCTTCATGGAATATTATTCAGTCTTAAAAAAGTAATGAAGTGCTCACTGCAGCCAGACTCTGCTCATCACTGCAGGAGTGGTGAGCATGCATTCATTTACTTAAGTTTATTGAATGTATATTATGTACCTCTCAAGTGCTGGAGATAAAAAAGAAAAAAGCAAATTAACACAAAAGGAATGAAGTACTGGTATGTGTAACAACATGGAACCTTGAAGACACTATAGTAAGTGAAATACACCAGTCACAAAGGAATAAATATCATATTATTACACTTATATAAGGTACTTAGAATAGGATGAAATATTTTTTTAAAAATATTTTTGCCAGAGGGCATGTGTGCTAGCCAGAGAGAGTGAGAAGGGAAGTGAGAAATCACCATGCAGGAGATGGCCATGCCACAATCCCGTGTCTTCCAGTCTCCTCTCAGGATTTTGGGCATGCATGCACAGATGCCTTCCATGATTTTCAAGCCACCAGGTCTAAGATTTGCATCATGGTTGGTCATGTGGGAATCTAGCACCTCAACCACTGTGCCTCCTACTGGTCCTCCTAAAATATTCAAATTTATAAACAGAAAGTTGAATGGTAAATAGTTGCCAGGAGCTGGGGGGTGGGGTAATGGGAAATTATTGTTTCACGGGTAGAGTTTCACTTTGAGATGGTGAAAAAGTTCTGGGTGATACCTTCCAATTCAACTTCTGAAAAATAACTAATCACACCTACTCATGGTCTTTGGGTAGTGACATTCTATTTACTTAAAACTGGGTTTAGGGGGGCCAGCGGATGGCATAATGGTTATGTCTCTGGACTAGCACATTGAATGCAGTTTGAGTCCCAGACCTAGCAGCTTAAAACTCATACCAGGCACGTGTGTGTGCATGCCCAAAATCTCATGAGGAGAATAGAGGAGAAGGGACTGCAGCGTGGTTGTCTCTAGTGAGGGAGTGATTTCTTACTTTCTATCTCTCTGTCTCTCCAGCGAGGGTACCAACCCTGTAGCAAAAATCTCTCTTAAAAACAAACAAAAAACTTTATGAAGTCTTTTCTCTGGAAGACTCCTCTAAATTGAGACACTGAAGAAAATTTCGAAAACTAGCTTATCCTCAGAGTGATAAGAAGTTCAATTTGAAATGATAACCAGTTCCCCAAGAGTCCCAGAGCTTCATCTGAGGCTCGACTTAGTCGGATTTACCAGGGGTCAGCCAGAAGCTCTGGGTTGGGCTTTGGTTATTAGGCCATAACCCCACTGGTGTAAAAATGTGTTAAGAATTCAGGAAATTGGTGCAGGCAATCACCACTCTGCCCAGGGCTCACAGAACATTGGCTTTCTATCTGAATGTGTCCCCCTGCCAACCCTGAGATATTTCTGAACTCCTTCTAATGAGATCTGAACTCAACCTTAGTCTCCCTAAGCCAAGGCTGCTGGGCCTTACCCAGCTTGCCTTTCACTGTTGCTATCTTAGCAGACCTGACTCCTGATTTAGCCTCCCACATTCCATCTGTCGCCAGTTTTGCTGTTCCTTCCTCCACATCTCACTACATCCCCTTGAATCCTGACTCAAGCCCTGGCAATCCTGTCCTAGCCCTTATACCATGGCTTGGTGAAACCATGTCTTTGAAGAGTGAATAAAACATCTTTCCATGTGAGGCAGACCCAAGCTGCACATTAGCCAAATTAACACTCTCTAACTTGTATGTAATAAGGAAGAAAAATGAATATTTATCAAGTACTTACTATGTGCCAGGTAATGTGCCAGTTATTTTCTGACCTTCCAACAAGTTTATGAAAGAAGGCATTACAATTATTAAGTTAATTTATTTCCTCTATGGCCAAGCAAGAGAGAAATAGCATCCATCCCCAACAGGATATTGACACTGTGATCCACTCCCCAACCCCAGCCAGACCAGGATCTTGGGCATGTACATGCCCAGTGTACTCAGGGAGGTCTCCAGACATGAACCCAGAACTCCCTATGTGGGTCTGCCTCAGAGAGCATTGTGTCTCACTGCTATCCCAGATCACATTCGGAATACTTTGTCCAATTCCCAGAGATACTTCCTGCCAGTGGGTAAGTGTGTCAGTTCAGAAAGGTCCTTGAAAAAGCAGATGCCAAGAAGAGGGCTAGACATTGCAAGCCATTTATTGGGGGAGATGCTTATGAAAGTTTAATGAAAAGGGAGCCAGAACTGGCAGGGACAGCCTAAGAATAGGATCTGGCCCTCTACAATTATTGTAAAATATTTAAATATAGAAGCTATTTCATGTAGCTGTGCTCACCCTTAAGAAAACACACTAGATCCTAGTGGCAAACAGAGTTTTAGTTGATGCAGATGCTAGTGTGGCTCACTTTATATCTGTCTGCAAATTTCCTCAATCCTGGCCACTTCTATTCAGTCACTCAAGCCTAATCTTTTGCTAACAACACCCTCTCTGTGTCTGTCTTTCTTTGAGACACACACAGAGACAGTGAGAAGGAAATTGAGAAATCACCCCCCAGGGGAGATGGCCATCCTGCAATCCATTCTCCATTCTCCTCCTGGGATCTTGGGCATGTACACACATGCACCCACTGTGACCTGCTGTGATTTTTCAAGCCACCTGGTCCAGGACTCAAACTGTGGCTGACCATGTGGGAATCCAGGGTGTAACTGCTACGCCATCTGCTGGCCCCATGTCTTAACTTGAGCAGCCTGCTCTCATTTGCAGGCAAGTCCTTGGTTTTGCCCTTTCCTGAATCCAAAGTCCAGAGAATTGACTGTGCTGGTCTTCTCACCAAGAAATGGTTTCCCTGCCTGCTGGCTATGTTCCTAACTCTCCTAAATCTAATTCCTCCCAGTTGACTGCCTAGTCATTTGCTCTTTGCAAATTCAGAATTTGCACTAAAACTCATTTTACATTAGTTTGTTTGATATCACACACTGATAATCCCAAAGAAACACCCAGGTCTTTTAAAATAATGCAACTCTTGGGACCAGCAGATAGCATAATCGTTTTGTGGCTGGATCCCATGTTGTCAACCGCCGTTCGAGTCCTGGACCCAGTGGCTTAAAACTCATGCTAGGTGCATGTATGTTCATGCCCAAAATCCCGAAAGGAGAATGGAAATCACCTGGGGGTGATTTCTTGCCTTCTGTCTCTCTGGTAAGTGCGCCCTGTAGCAAAAACTATCTCTCTGGAAAAAAATTGCAACTCTGAAAAAAATATGCTTTTGTTCACAAAAAACCTTGAACATATAAAATGCATTTTCATAGCTCAGAAGAGTTTTTGAATACAGTTTTCTCATGGTAGTAATGGATGAGGGACAGGCCAATGCCATTTACCAACTTCCAAGCACTGTTAGGCATATCACATTATTCCCTTCAAGTTTCAGAACAACTGTACGAGGTGAGTAGTACCATCTCCATTTTGTAGATGGTGAAGTAGATTAACCTGTTCGTGTTAGCACAGGTGGTCAGATCCCATTTGGAATACCTTGTCCAATTCCCAGAGTCACCTTCTGCTAGTGGGTAAATGTGTCAGTTCAGAAAGGTCCTTGAAAAAGCAGGTGCCAAGAGGAGAACTAGATGTTGTAAGCCATGTATTGGGGGAGACGCCTGTGGAAGTTTAATGAAAAGGGAGCCAGAACTGGCAGGGACAGCCTAAGAATAGGATGCAGGTGTGGAATCTATGAAAGGAGAAAGAGGAAGGAGGACTGGGTAGGAAGAGCCGTAGGCCACGGCGCAGTCCTGAGAAAGCCTCAGCTAAGCAGACAGGTGTACCTGAGCAAAATCTCCACTGGAGGGATCTCAGGCTGGTCAGGAATGAGCAGCTCTAGTACTATGCTGTGCTCAGCCATTGGCTGGGGTGGCCTTAGGGAAGCATGACCGTGACATGAACTCAAGTTCAGTCTCCCTAAGCCACAAACTACCTGCTTTCATAAGCTTGTTCGGCACTGGAATACCATGATAAAGTCAAGGAGGAAGCAGCCGGAGCTGTCTACTACCCCACAGCAGACTCTCCTGAGGGAGAACTGAGCAGTGCACTTGGCTGCCACAGGTGGAAGTTACAGAGAAACAAGGACTCAAAGCACGTGTTAATAATCAAAGCCCAGGGGCTAGCAGGTAGTGTGGTGGCTAAGGGTACTGGATTCCCACATGGCCAACTGAGGTTCAAGTCCCGAACCTAGAGGCTTGCTTTCTGTCTTTCCCTTTATCTATTTCTGGTCAAATTAAAAAACAATAATAACAACAAATGAAATTAAATAAATAAAACTTTAAAAAGATAATAAAGCCCACTGGCTGCACCCACCAGCCACTCTGGCATCATCTAAACAGTCATGGAAAGGGGTAGATATGAAACCTGTGGCTTCTTGATTTCTGAATTTCACAGGCTAGAAAAACCAGGAGACCAACTAAAGTCGCCAAGTTTTTACTTGTATTTTTGAAGTAAAGATGTGAAACAGCTAAATACCATTTACTCTCACCATAATTTAAGACACTTTAATACCCCCAAATGGGAAAAGCATAGTCTCAGAACAAGTACTTTTAGTTGAATAAATTTAAAACGATCATTGTTTTAAAGCATTGTTCTTGCTACTCTTGTTTTGTTGCAGTTTATGCAGAAGTACCTTCTCGGGCTGGGCACCACCAGCCCAAGGACTAGGTCGTAAAACCATGCTCAAGGGTATTCAAGTACCGGACAGAGCATTGGCCTAAGGTACTTCCCAGCCACGAGACTCCCTCATCCGATTCACGCATATTTACTATGCACCTCTATGTGGCAGGTCCTAGGAGCTACTGATGATCCTCAAGTGGATAATGTGCCTGTGGAGCTTAAAACCTGGTGGTGGGGGTGAAGTGGCTATGGTGCTGGATTCCCACATGGCTGACTGCAGCTTGAGTTACAGACTAGGGGGTTTGAAACTCATACCAGGTGCCTGTGCGTGCATGCCCAAAATCTTGAGAATGGAGAAGGGATTGCAGCATTGGCTATCCTCTCTAGGGAATGATTTCTCACTTTCTCTCTCTCTGTCTCTCTCCCTCTCTCCAGTGAGTACAAGTGCTCTATAGCAAAAATACCTCAAAAAATTTCAAAAATCTGGTGAAAGGTAAAAGCAATATAATTTCTGTTTGCAGTAAGCACCGCCATAGGAAAGGGCTGTTACCTTAGATAGTGTGGTCTAAAAAAAAAACACTCTCTAAGGTGACATTTGAGCTAAGACCTGAAGGAGGAGCCAGGCCTTTGAAATGCTGGGTGAAGAGCAGGAAATGCACGATCCCCCAGGAATAGTTTAAGTGTCAAGCCCTGAAGAAAGGAATGAGCACAGTTTGTCTGCGGACTGAAGGCAGGCCAAGGTGGGGCTGGGAGCCCTGCAGCATGCCCACTAATGAGGCAGGCAGGTGAGGGGAGGCAGGGTAGATTTCCATGTGTCCAGCTGAGAACACACCTGCAGTTTTGGGGACAGATACTCTGTGTCTAACTATGCTGTAGAAGTCCCTAGGAGGGGCTGGTGGGTGGTGTCGTTGCTGGGGTGCTGGACTCCCATGTGGCTGACCATGATTCAAGTCCCAGACCTAGCGGCTTGCTTTCTCACTTTCCCTT